GCTTCACCTGTCTGGTGGGGACTTTCGCCCCCTGTCCCCCAACTGGCACCGCCACTGGTGAGCAGCCCTCCCTTAATAGACAATACAACATTTACATTTTCATTCTTTCATTCTGTTTCATTTGCTTATTTTTATTCATGCATTACTTCTCCAGTATGTTTAAATTTCTTACAAATTCATGCTTCACCTCCCATTTAGTCTTATTTCTTTCTTCATCTTTATTTATGCCTTTTTTATACACTTTAATTCGCCAATTTACCATGAAATGTCATTACATTTGTTTACTCCTATAAATACTTCTATTTAAGATATATTTAATTTGTGTTTATATATTTTTTTTCAGCTGACAGCTATTTTTGGATCTGCACCTGGATTTCTTGACATTCAAATTCTAAATTTGGATCCAGGAAGTATTATTGTGGATTATTATGTTGAATTAAAATCAACTGGTGCTGCAGCATCAGATTTGGATTTATTGTTTGTTCAGAATGTCAACAGTGAAGGAAAGTTAAATGGTTCGATGCTTGATCTTAATCCAGAAAATATCCAAAAGTTTTATGGTAATAATATTATGAAACAAATCTTATACAGGGTTGAATAATTTAATATATTATAAAAATAAATCACTAAAATTATTACTTATTCAGGTCACATCGTGACCAAAGCTCATTAGTCTATTAACACGATACTATGTTGATTTTATTGACAGAAATTTGTCCAGAAGATTACTGTAATAATGGAGGAACGTGTTCTATGGATATGAATAATTTTAAAAGCTCTTGCACGTAAGATGAAAAAGTTTTTTTCATTTCAAAAATACCGCACACACAATTGTAATTTTTGAGAATGAAATAAGAATATCAGCCGGGAATCGAACCCAGGACCTTTAGCACCAAGTAGACCATGGAGGCTTTTGTTTATTGATTCAATCTGGTAGCCACTTTAATCAGTTTCACATAGAACTATGGTTCATCCACATCATCTTGCTAAAATTTTCTATATGAACGCTAAATTATTCCTTGATAATTAAATAATTAGACTACAGTCATCTAGATGTATTTTCTTGACTAACTTCTTTAATCCAGCGGTTGAGCCACTTGGTAATGCAGAAAGTAGCCCAGCGGGAGGCCAGCATCCATATAGGCCAATCAGACTCCTGCTTGGTCATGCGATGGTCAGTGACAGTTGCATCACAGACCCTATATACTTGTTGGTTTCATGCTTATTATATCATTTTTATTTATCTGGCTCTAACTAACCATTGAACGCAATTTAAATTGGCAACTAGATCAGCTACTTCATCCGGCTATAAATCCCATTATGAAATTAGCTTTAGAGTCCTTCAGCATTCTTAACGCATCCATATGGCAATTAGTCTGTGCATGCTTATAAAACAATCCAAGGTCTGAATAGACACCCTCCACTGTACACTTTGTAAGGCTAGCTGGATCACGGGCCTGGTAGGATCTCGCTGAAAATCTGTCGGAAGTAAGTGAAATATAAGGCTACTAATATGTAAAATTGTTTTAATAGCTAAATCACAGTGACTGCATTAATACAAGGAACTGCAAAATGGCAACTTATTACATATACAGTAGGCCTACATATATCGGTTTTTCTCATCAAAAACACAACAAATGCTGAAAAATCTAAACAAATGTTAGCTCTTCAGTCAAATTCATATTCAAATTTAAAAAATAATTGCTTTATAAGCAAAGATCTTATAAACACAAGATAGCGTTCTACACAATTTATGCGTAACAAATAGAAGCATCGATTTGGCAGCAGAAAGTAATCATTTTGGGGCGAGGGCGTCGTAGTTGTTGCCATAGATCTGAGATAAGGTGTTCGTGTTACACCAAAGTTTGTTACCAAGTACGTTATTTTTCCTTAATTGTAAATCGACACTTCTAATTGTTACGCGTAAAGGTGAATTCATGCGGTGTATGTACGCCAAGGTCAAAGCAGTCAAGTTCAAAAGTTTTTATTTTTGCAAGAGGGCGCTGTACTGCGTTATTACGCAGAGCCGTAGATACGGCTCTGTTACTACGTAATTTGCACACAGATATTGCGGAGAACGCTAAAGTAAAATTCGCCTACCAAGTCTGTCGAACTGCTAGGGCTTTTTCCTTCAGTGTGCAGTATGTCTTTAATAATATATTTTGCAGTACATACGGCAAGTCTAAATGTATGCTACTTGGCTCTACATCCTCCGACCATCGTCAATTCTTTAATTTATTTCTTGATTTCAAAATTACTGTGATGCTCACATAGAATTACTTACAAGTTTTCTACTTTTGTCTTAAAATGTGCCTTGTATGATGTCCTTTAGACGACACTCTTCAAGTCCACATTTTCCTTTTAAATATTCTATGTTCAACTCTTGGCTAGATACCTCTTTACTAAGCCTTTTGATAACATATTTGCATACTTTTACACTTCACTTCAGTACACTAATCACACACTGACATTTTGGCTTAACGTTCATGTAACTTATTACCATTTACAGATTGTTTACCGCGACTAATACAACATATGTATATTCATTTAGTTTATGATTTAGTTAAAAGTACTGTAAAGTGGAAAGAAATATCCCAATATTGTGTCATGCTATTATATTCATATACATTATATTTTTTTAGTTCTTGTATAATCAGTCAATGAAGAATAGGAAAATTGATTGCAACTGACTAATAATACACATTACCCTGTTTGATTTTTTTATTTTCCCGCCACCTATCTCAACACTGTACATTTATCATAGAGTGACTTCACCTCTCTCGACCATTTTTCATTTACTGCCAGTTAATATTTAAACATTTGACAAACTCTTTTAATTCTTGCATCTGTTTTTCATGACTTCCAGCTTATCAGGATATAAAAGCATCTTCACAAAGATGGGCTGGCCTTCCATTATTTTCCCGTCCAAAACGGTAGCCTTCCTCCGCTGAGGTTTAGTAACGATTCCCAACCAATACTAGGTTTTTTTTTATTTTTTAAGCTTTTACAACACCGTTCTTCTTATCTGTCTTTTTATCTTTAATTATGCGGATATTGTTTCGTAGTGCAAACCGTCTTCATTACAGGAGACCAGTGTCAGTTGTTACAAAATGTACATTTTTTTTCTTAATTATGTTATTGAATGAGACTAACACACCATTTCTTTTCTAATGCAACAACAGTATATTGGTTATAAAAAGAAGCAATTGCAACTGTCATATATCATTAATCAGTTAATCAACTGTAACAAATTACCCCTGTCCCGCTTATGTATGGATGTACGTTGTGGAGTTGACCAAAAAGGCCTTGGTAGTCAAGACAGTGTGAACATTAACTGTAATCAGTTAATCATGAATATGCATGCCAGAACTCCTCCTCGTGAAACAGAGTTCAGTAATGTGTTGAGTAAGCTGCAGTGCTTATGCATGGATGTACATTGTGGAGTTAACCAAAAAGGCCTTGGTAGTCAAGACAGTGTGAACATTAACTGTAATCAGTTAATCATGAATATGCATGCCAGAACTCCTCCTCGTGAAACAGAGTTCAGTAATGTGTTGAGTAAGCTGCAGTGCTTATGCATGGATGTACGTTGTGGAGTTGACCAAAAAGGCCTTGGTAGTCAAGACAGTGTGAACATTAATTGGAATATTTGTAATAATATCCCTATGTATGACTAGACACAGCATGGTCTTTCAAAGTATAAAAAAAGTACAATAATTTTGAATCTGGCTACTTTAGGAAGCCTACAGTATAGTATCCTAGATATGGTATGTCTTGTAGCACCTATATAGTACTGATTCTGTTAGTGTATTTGCTGTATTTCTGTACATGATTCATTGGCTGGTAACATTTAAGGATTTTTTTAGTAGAACCGTCTGTAAATCAGTGAAGCTTATTTTACCATCTGATTTTGATCATTTTAAATATGCTATTAAATTTTTTTTAATTGGGTAGGCAACCTTTAATAAACAGTAGGCCCCTTACATCATTATGTGTATATAATATCGTCAGATTGGGTAAAATTAATGTTTACCGTATATCTCCTTGCTATATAAATCTATTCCTATTACTTTTATTCATATTAAAAGAATGAAATAATATGTAAGGTATGTGTTATACTTTACACTACACAAATAACCAACCAGATTCAACGCTGCTTTTTATACTTTCAAAAACCATTCTGTACCTAAACAGTGTCGAGGCATAGGAATATTATAATTGCAATACTAATAGTCCATTAATTTTTACTGTGTCGACTACACACTCTCGAGTGACTACCAGGAGATTTTGGCCTACCCTACTTATTACTATACGCCGTAGCTTTCTTATTCCACAAGCAGCGAGCACTGCTTTTGCGACTGGGGAATTTATGTTGTCAGTTCACTGAAATGATCTTAAATTTTGAGGTAAAAAAACAAACATTTTACTTGCATTTCCTGTCACTCGTCGGATAACCAGGCTAAGGCCGGCGGTGATGGATATTACAGTATGCTTTTATATGACACCGACTGTGTTTCCCTGTTCCTCCTATTCAGGGAAAAGAGCACTGTAACAATATACCCCTGTAACAACTGACCCCAGTCTTCCCTACCATTACACAGTATTATATTTTTTTAATGAAAAATATCGTTACAAAATGGAGAGGGGCTATCTTATGCGCGAATAAATGTTTACTAACAAAATAAAACTAGAAAACTAAAAAAAAATATCTGAGGCCTATGTGGAATTATTATTAAAGACCGGTGAAAACCTCATGCCAAAAAATTAGTAGATACTTTCTCCACCTAACCTCTAATATGTAACTAATACGTGTGTAAAATAAGTTTTTCTGCAATGTCTTATTATGCGTTTCAATACAGCATTTCACAGGAATAGATAATCAGCCACAAAAGCAATCAGCATCACTTATGAATTGTGTACATATGATAGCATAATTTATAAAAACAACAAATCAACAGTAGATAATTTCCCACTACATTTTAGCCATTAACTTTACAAATAGGGCAGCTTATTATTTTCATTTTCATTATCACATATTTATATTTATCAATTTATAATAATAAAATATGTGTGTACCATTTCGTTTTGTAGAGCCTATGATGATAACATTTTATTGTATAATTTTATTATAGGTGTACTGAAGGTTACATAGGAGAAACGTGTCAGCTAGTAATATGGAGTATTATTGTTGGTAGTCTTGGTGTTGTTTTTCTGCTTATATCTCTGATCTGCTGTTGCTACGTAGGGCATAGTGGAAGACAGCTTAATTCAATGTACCAGCAAGGAATGATATCAAAGAGACCCATGTATTTAGAGGACAATGTATATGATAAAACAAATCTATCACCACGTTTCGGCCATACGTATAATGATAATAATGTTACACAGGAAAAACTTGATGGCAGTTTGAAAGATAATGGTCATTTTTCAAGGCCATATATTGTGTCAGGAAATTAACTTGAGGTAAATATTTGTTAGTGTTCCCAGGATTTGTAAGAGAAAGGGCGTAGTGATGGTGATATTTTATAATT